CCACTCTCCCGCCCCGTACCGATGGGATTAAGCTAGACTATTCCGAGAGACTAGGAGTAGTTGTCGGGAGGATAGCGGAACATTCTGTAGAGTTATTGCGTCTGCCCGAGCTTAGGGTACTAGTCTATGAACTTACGGCTCGGTGGGCAGGAAGTGTCTTGATCGGTTGAACACTTGAGGTCATCAAACATCCATATTGCCTATAAACACAACGATCCATTCCATTCAATATACACGAGTAATATTTCGAAACAAATTAGTTTTACTGAGGCATTGAATCTCACACATACCCTACTCAACAGAAAGTTTCTTATCTGACGCTCTAACCATGGTCATCGCAACCGACTTCGCGAAGCCTTTGGCGACCATCCCGGTCCCAGACGGAAAGAAGATTGCCAAAATTGCATCAGCCACGGCTCCCTTGAAGCCTCAGCCGGCGGGCCCCAACAAACTCTTTTCTCAAGAAGATGCCGTCTTTGGAGACTTCCGCGATGATCTCCTTCGGGACGGCTTCGTCGTAGTCAAGGGCGCTATTCCGCGCGAAAGAGCAGACGCCTACGGCGAAGAAATGATGTCCTACCTCGAGAACTTGTACGTACCTCATCACTCACCCCAGACCTCTCTTTCAATTACACGCTAACAAGTACAAACAGCGCCGGCGGTCTCGGCTTCAACCGCAACGACCCCTCCACCGTCAAAGAATCCAACCTCCCCATCATCACCGAAAAGGGAATGTGCCTGGGCTACGGCGTCGCCCACGAGTCCTTCACCTGGGCCGTCCGCCAAGAACCAGGCCTCGTCGACGCCTTTGAGAAAGTCTACGACACACCCGACCTCATCGTCTCCTTCGACGCCGTCAACATGGCCTTCCCCAACCGGCCCGACGTGAAGCCAAACAATCCCTGGCCGCACCAGGACCAGGACCCGGAGAAGCCAGGCTTCCGCTGCCTCCAGGGCCTGGTGAACCTCCTGCCCAACGGGGACCGCGACGGCGGGCTCATCGTCTGCAAGGGCGCGCACCTTCTCTCGGAGGAGTTTCACGAGGCGTTCCGCGGGGAAGAGGATAAGATTTGGGCTTGGACGAAGGAGTGGTATGGGTTTACGGACAAGGGGATGCAGTGGCTGAAGGACCGCGGGTGCGAGTGGATCAAGGTCAACGCGGAGCCTGGCGACCTGCTGTTGTGGGATAGCCGGACGCCGCATTATAATCTCAGCCCGGAGGGCACGTCGCCGCGGTTCTGCGTGTATACTTGTTATATGCCGGTCGTCGAGGCTACGCAGGAGGATTTGGTAAGGAAGAAGGGTGCGTTTGAGGAGTTGAAGAGCACGACGCACTGGCCTAATGCGATGCATGTTGGCGGGATCCCGGTGCTGAGGGATGGGGAGCCGTGTCCGTACAACACAGGCAAGCCGAGGCGGGTGCCGGAGCTTTCGGAGAGGGGGTTCAAGTTGACTGGTATTCCGTATATCCAGGGTGTGCCTATTGATGCTTTGGGGGAGTGAGTCTGGGTTTTGTGAGAATGGGGCAGATATCCGTGGAGGATTATGTTTTGATTGAGCCATCAAATTGTTTGTCTTCATTGTTTGAAGCAAAATGTCATCCGTTTATTTTCAATCAAGTTTTGAATACTCGTTGACTTTGCTCCTGGAATGATTATTTTTTGTGATATAATAACGGATTGACGAGGAAACTCGAAAGACCAACTTACCACATTGTACATGCTCTGAACCGAAAAAACACTTGATTGGAATAAAGGCTTTTGTCCTATGTGATGACTGCCTGTGGTGAATTCGAGAACAGCACCCGAGAGAATCTTTAAGAAGACTATATCTCATCGAGTGCTGGATGTCGTTAAGATATACAAAACTCTTCGATTCTTCGATTCTCGCCAACTCTAATCCTATCCACGACTTCTAATACATAAAATCTAAACGACACGGCTTTGATAAGGAACGACTCAGAATGATGCGTGATTTGAGCTACCATTCAAATGGGGTAAGTTGCAGGCACATGATGAGGGGCACACTAAATCCGGGCAGGCCACATACTCAAATTCAAGTACACCTGAAAGTTGAAACACCGTATCTGCAATTCAGAGTACCTGCCTAATCACGCTATAGATAGTTCACTATACATCTCGGATAGCCCTAGTCATATTTACGGACTACTTTTGTTTCGTCACTCAGAAGCGATCTCAGGCCAGATCTTCTTCGTAGCCCACATCCTGATACGTGACCCAAATAGATACACAGGAACAGTGATAACACCTAAAACGCCAGCAATGATGGCGAAGATATTCATGGCACCCTGATATCCAATAAGGTTGATCAACGGAACCGTGGAGTAGCTAAGCCCAAACGAGATGAAGCCGCGTCCTGCACACAGCACCAAAAGAAGCGGCCCGGCCTTGCTTGGAAAGCTGTCGATGGCGTAGGTGATGCCGACGAGGTTCGCTCCCAGGAAGGCAAAGTCTCCGAGATTGTACGGGGCCACGATGGTCATCCAGTGCCAGCGGTTCGGGTGCGCGCCTGCCTGTCCAAAAAAGACACAGGAGATAATGGCTGATAGGATGGGGACGCTCAGGATGATGAGTCTGTACTCAGGCTGCGATTACGACATGAGTTAGCGTCGACTCGATACAGATATTGAAGGGCGCGTAAAAGTTGCTCACCTGGAAAGTTCCGCTCTTCCAATTACTCATGGCGCGCGCAAGCATATCAGATCCGTAGCCGAGGAGAGGTACTAAGATGACACAGTCGAGCACTTGAACGAGTTGAACATATCCCAGCCAGTCGTATTTGAATGTGTACGGAGGGGCCATCAGGATGGTCGCAAATGTCGAAGCTTGGTAGACGTAGATACCCAAGAAGGCACCGTTGAGTAACAACATCCAGACGATGTTCGGTAGCAAGAGTGATTGCATCGTCTCCTTGTAGAATATGACTGTCTGTTTCCACTCGGGCTTGAAGTGGAAGATTCTCAGATTATGGCGCCAGGTTCGGGGCCCAAAGACTTCGGGTTGCAGAACATGGTTTTGTCGTGTGAGGACTTGGATGATCATCTCGTTGTCGCCGTTTGTGTTGACATTGCCTTCGTCGTCTAACTTAAGATGTACCGCGCCCCCTACAGCGAACTTGTATTAGTATTTGTGCCGAGCAAGAGCACGCACCAGCTGACTGGGGTCCCCAAGATTCAGGCGGAACTTACTGTCGGCATCGATTGGCCGATCATATTTGGTTTCTACGGCAAAGAAGAAAGCCAGAACAAGGATAGCGGCGTTGATGAAGGTGATGATCAGGTACCACCACTTGAGCCCCACTGAAGGGACGATGTAAGCCGTCGCAACGAACATCGCCGCCGTGCCTACAGTTTGGACACCAATGAACCAAGATAGTTTGGCGCTCCTCTCGTGGAGGAAATGAATCTCTTCAATTATGAAGGGAGCGAGTGCTTCACTTTGACCAGCGGCGATGCTGTAAAAGTTGCGACCAGCAATATGACTGCTCAAGGACGTCGAGAAGGCGCACCATAAACCTGACAAGACCAGCAGAACCAATGACATGAGGAACACGGGTCGCCTGCCAATCGTCACGCAGAGCGGCATGGAAAAAAGGTTTCCTATCCCCATGAACAGCGTCGGATAGGTGAGAAGGTCCGTGGCTCGCGTGGCATCTTCGGGAGGGTACTCCTTCAGCACGGAGGGGAACACGGCGCCTAGCCCGGATGTGACGAGGACGGCGATGGCGGAGTATGAGCCGACGACAAAGATAATGAGGTACTTGTGCCATGTCGGAAGGTTAAGAGGGTCTGTCTCCCGCCGTTAGCATTAGGCGTGTCCCGCTTCGCTGCCTGCACCCTCCAGTCGGCGAGGGTCTTTGGGCAAGATAAGAAACTCAGTAACCTTACCTTTGGGGTCAGGACTAGGAGTGGGAATCAAGACAACTGAACCGCCTTGGAGTAGCTGCACGGTTCCGTATGTCTGGTATTCCTGCGTAGTAACCTTTGTGGCCGATCCCTCGATGGTCTCGACATGAGGCCCATCATCTTTGGTGCCAGGCATGGTCGGCAACGTAGGCAGAAATACTTCCAGCAACTTATAAGGCGATCGGCTTTTCGGCGTGAGGCGAGCAGGAAAGTTGATGGGACGTTGAAAATTGTCGCAGCACAGACCGAAGCAGCAAACTCAAAGTCGTGATGCCGGCAATGGCCGGTTGAAGGGGTTCCATGCTTCTGGCTATATACAAACTGATGTCTGAGGTGTTGCTGTCTCTTCAAGATCTCTTTGTGTTGACAGTCTATAATCCTACTAGCCATTTTAATTGACTCTATTGAGTCTCATCAAGTTACATGAATGTAGTACGCCTTGTGGTCCAATCAAAGCTGAACCATTATCAGAGAATAGCTTCATTGGGCTGTCGGCTCGGCTCAGACCCATCAACTCCCGATGGTCAAGGTAGAGGCGTGCCTGAGACCAATAGCATTCCTACCGATCGCAGGGGCTAAGCCAAATGTACGGCTCCCCATGTTTGCATGCATTGTGAACCCCATGGGGAAGATCTAAGAGCCTAACCGCTTCTGGAGCCTCCTTGGTCGAGTAGACATGTCGTTGTGAAGAGTAACGGTAAACGCCCCATCTTCTGCCTCCCCCACTATTCCGAGCTGATCATCGCGTCAACCGGAACGAGGGGCCGGTCGGCCTGCGCGCAGTGTCCACCACCTAAACCACCCAAAGAACCTCCCGAAACGCTTCCGCGAGTCATTCGATCTCCTCGTTCTTTCTGGGCCGTGCCGTCTCTGCACGTTTCGGAAACGCCAAAGTACTCCTCATAACGACGCGCTTCGGCATCTCAACCTACCCAGCCGAACCCTCATCTCCAGCTCCCGAACAACCCAGTCAGTCAGCAGCCAGTAAGCGTACCAGTCCAGCCAAGCCAGTGGAGAATACTCAGGTATCGGCTATGTGAGGAAATTCCACACACCTCACAGGCAACGCGCGGCAATGTCATCATATACGAACCCCGTACCCACCCCCCCGGTGGCTGCCGAGCCCTCGTCCGTCGTCGTCGAGTCTTCCGAGGGCACCTCGGGGGCGGCGGCCTCGGTAGCCAAGAGGCGACGTATCAACTTCGCCTGCAACTACTGCCGCAACCGAAAGACGCGCTGTGATGAGCAGAAGCCATCATGCCGAGCCTGCATCAACGCCGGCATCGAGTGCGTCACGACGGACCGCCGGAGGCCCGGCGTCGAAGTCCAGCGCCGGGAGACGAAGCGCCGGCTGTCTCGGGCATCCAGCGCGTCCTTGACGCATTCGCTGACGGCCGTCGCGTCTCCACACTCGCCTCGAGATGAGGTCGAGAGCTCCGAACCGCCGCCGCTGCCGGCACTGCCGGACGCCCGCACCAAGACTTCGCCGTCGATAGAGCTGCTCTACAGCCGTGACCGGACAGCCTCGGTAGCGGCTCCCAAGCTCGTAACGGTTCCCAAGGATGCTGCCGTCACTATCATTCCGGAAGATGAGGAGCCTCCCGCATGCCAGGCCCCGCCCAAGTATCAAGGAAAGTTACCTGTAGTACGCCCCAGCCGCGGGAACAACTCGGTCGAGATCCTCGGCGACTGGTTGGACCTTGCTGCGCGTCGGCTAGGGATCCAACAAAGGCGCGGCATGCCAACACGCATAGACAGACCGCCGGCTTACCGCATTCTGTCGTCTGAACCCTGCTCGTTCCCTCCCAAAGAAATTGCCCGCGAGCTTGCTGCCCGCTACCTCGAAGGCATCAATCTTGTCTATCCTCTCTTCACCCCAGACCGCCTCACGCGAGACATTGAGACAGCCGTGGAACTCGGCCCAATAAACTTCGCTGAGGCCAGGGGGCTAGCGGCCTTGGTCTCGGTTTACCTCGTCATGTCTATCGCGTTTGCTTCCGCGGCACTATCAGAGCCAACACTTGATCCCGGGGACTATGTAATATACTGCAAAACTCTCATTGGTCACCTTGTCACTGTCAACGGCGTTGAGACTGTCAGATCCTTGACGCTTCTTTCATTGTGTCTTCACTGCTATGATGAGTGCGCCGGGGCTTGGAATATTCTCACCATGGCGGTTTCCATCGCAACGTCGCTGGGGCTGCACAAACCTAGAACGTGTCGGGGAGGCAAGAACAATCGCCCCGACAAAAGGCCAGACTTCGCCGATGATGAAGAGCGTAAGGCATTTTGGCTCGGCATCTATTCCTTTGAAAAGTTTTTAGCGTTCGAGTTGGGCCGCCTTTCTTCAATAGAGGATGAGGAGTGCTACCCGGCTCATGTCGATATGCCCACGGGCAACGGCACTTCGTCAAAGGATAAGGCGTTTGCTGTGACTGTCGACCTTGCGAGGATACTCAGCGAAATCGGAAGAAAGGCCGTCATCGTCAGCCGGAAGGAGGACGGACTCCGAGACGGCGCACTACAGGCTATCATAGCTGAAAAGGTTGAGACCACGGGGGAGGCACAGCTGCTCCTTACCAGATGGGGCGAATCAGTGCCCGACGAGCTGAGGTACGTTTGATCGTGCCTCATGAATACCGACACGTGGATAGGTAAAGCTGACGATGTTCGACTCTAGGCCGATATCAGACATCTTGATCGGCTCAAAACAGTGCCCCTTCGCATCATTCATATCGATGCATTATAATAATGCGTAAGTAGGCATCTCGTCCCATCGTATCAGGTACATCCCACTAACACAACGTATCACAGGCTCGTGATCCTCTCCCGAAACAGCCTTCTCATAAGCGAAGAGGCAATTACTTCTGGCGCTGACTTGATTGCTAAAGGCAAACCGTGGGACTACATCATGCGAAACGGGCAAGCTCTCGCCGCCAATGCCGCCCGAAAAGTGCTCAGAATAGTCGTCGAAGCGGTAGACTCGAAGTCGAATGCGATTCTCCCGAATCTTCTTGCGCCACTCCACGCACTCACAACACTAGCTGTCCACGTCGTAACACACCCAGACTCCCGCATCTCAACGATGGACCTACACGTAAGCAGCTATTCTGCGATCATCTTGACGACACTGACATGCTTCAAGCTCATCCAAACCGCCTCAGACTCTATGAGAGAGATATACACGAGGCTTCGGGGCGACGGCTTACTGGATATGCTGTTACAAAAAATCGACTCATTTCTTCACAAAGGGCTACCGACGCCCGGATCGTCAGGTAACCGGACAACTACTACCTTGCCATCTATGACTCCGAGGTCGATGCCGGACGCCAGCCCTTGGCAGAACGCTGGGGAGACGCCGACCCCCAGATCGGTAGATGCTCAATGGTCTGGCAGTGACGATAGCCGCCGCAGGGAATCAGGTGTCAATGTGCCTGGTTCTACAATGCCCTTCTACAACCAAGGAAACGGGTTTCCTGGCGGGACCGAATTCGGATTCGACTCGTTTGGCGAGATACCCATGGTTAGCGACGATTGGTCGCCTAGTCTGTCTGATGGGATCGGATGGGACTGGGCGTGCTTCTCTCATCTTCTCACCGACCAGTACCAACCATAGTGAAGCTTATACGTGGGACCTTCACCTAAAATCCCGTGCCAGGTTGCCTTGACCGCACCTAATCTGGCTTAATCAATGTCGACTTTGTCCTCATGCCGCGTCATGGATCCAAGCAGGTGCAAGAATTGATGTCGCAACAGTATCTCAACAAAGGTATTGGCTGCTTGATGAGATATGACGATATAGATCGAGAGTTTCTCTGGCTCCTTGCCGGGAGATATGAGTAAGGCAATCAGATATTGGATCCACCCTCAGTACAGGAGCCCGGAAGCCCTGGGAGGATAGTTCCGCCAAGCACATCGAAATCACCTCGGTCATTTTGGAGCCTATGAAGTCCAAGAATGCTGCACGAGGCAGAGCGGAGCAGTGTAAATGGTGGCGAAGTGGATTTGTCAGAGGGTGTCGTTGGAATCATGATGTCTGGTAGAAACTAGAGAACCGGTGACGAGTTCCAGGATAAGTCTATTGTGACTACGACCCGTCTAGAATGGAAGCAATTAAAGGAGAGGCTTGTGGGTTGACTCTAAGCAGCCCTCGCCTAAGCCCTCTGACCATCTCCAACGAATCAAGTCATCAGTGTTCCTGCGAATCCTGAGTCGCTGATTGCTAGGGGACCATGTTTCTAGAAGCGACTGATCGGCCCGCAGTTTCAACTTTATGCTTGAATAAATGCTTCGTATTCCGGCTGCCGTGAGTGGTCACTACTGTTACTAAGCTAGACCATTATCCCAATGGCTAAGTTTCACCTTGCCAGTTTCTAGGAGAAAGAATGTCAACTACATATTCATTAAGGCAGACAGTGATCACCTATCGTGAACATCGGTGCTGACTTATCGGAGGCACGACTTGTGTGTCATCGAGATTCCTATGTTCTGATCAATTCTCATAGGGCATATCCACAGGGCGCGTCCGTATTGCATATTGCATTCCTAGACTAGGATGATAGACTGGCGATGGGTCTCACTGGCGCCAAGCAAACAATGGGATAGAATGCGCGCTGAGCCACGGAGGCCGTACGTGGGACGATGCGTAGGACTTGGCAGATTACAACTCCTGAAATCATATTAGCTGCCACTATCTATTAGCCTTTTGAGAACGAGAATGATAATAGTTACGCAGCGATCTGGAGTGATCATGGCAGAGGAGGGCCTCATCTTCGTTTTCGTTTTCGTTGTCATTGTCGAGTGGGTCCATGTCAGTGGCTCAGCAGCACTGCGCTGGTCAGGTAGCTCCACCTTGTGAATCAGCTAGAGCATCTGTAACGGGGTGTTATGGACTCAAGTGAGGATTGAGTAACTAGCTAATAACATGTTCACGATTACAAACTATAGGCGGAGTTGATATTCGAACTTCAATATGTGAGATTTGTATAAATACATTGCTACCTCCAACTGGCATTATAGGAGAGAGCTAGATTTCGAATCACCGTTCAACCACCTGCCATATTGAACCACAAACAATCCAGTCCCTCTTTTACTGATAAGAAACATCTTTTATACAAACAAAGACATGCATTTCTCTTTACCAACCATCGTCGGGGCTGCCTCTGTCGTCCAGGCCTTCCCTCACTTCGCCCACCCGAACACTCGCTTTGCTCTGCCGCCCAGTAAGGGACTGAAAGGACTAAAGACGGGAAATGAATCTTGGGGCACTTTGAAGCCGAATCATTTCACATGGAGTCCCCCGGGCCCTAATGATCGTGAGTCTCATGATATGTACCTACGATTTCCAGGCCGCAGCTAATCAAACAAATGGGATGTAGAACGAGCCCCGTGCCCGGTCATGAATACCCTCTCCAACCATGGCTTCGTTCCCCATGACGGCCGAAACATTACCAAAGATATTCTCATCAAGGCCCTCAACGATGCGCTGAATGTGCCCGAGGCGCCAGCTCTCAACATCTTCAACAATGCTCTGGTGGTCAATCCTACTCCCAACGCAACTGTAAGTCGTTACTAGTTCGCTTATCACCAAAGCATGATGTGCTTAGTCGGAGTTCCTTTGGGCTGATGTTGTTATAAATAGTTCTTTGACTTGAAAATGCTACACGCCCACAACGTCATCGAGCATGATGGTAGTCTGTCTCGCAAAGATGCCATCTTCGACCCCACCAACCCTTTCGACGTGGGGACTTTCGACAACTTTGTTAACTACTTTGGAGATGAAGAGGCCATTAATATAACGATGATCGCGAACGCCCGAGCTAGACACGCTTATGATATGAGTCTCATCAACCCGACTTTTTGGATTACCGATGCCCAGATCCCAGTCATTGTTGGCGAGAATGCATTCTTGCTGGCAATCTTTGGCGACCCAGATGTTGCTGTTGCTAACAGAACCTTCCTGGAGTACTTCTTCCGTATGTTTAATGCAAGCGAGCTGTTTACATGAAGGCAAAGAAAATTGACACATCAATATCTAGGCAATGAGAGGTTTCCCGTCGAGCTTGGCTGGTCCCCTAACAAAACACCTATCGACGCGCAACTCGGTCCCATCGTGCAAGATATCATCGCCCAAAGCCCTGCGGACGTGCCCTTGACGTTTACGCCACAGACTGTAAGCCTGGCAAAGGTCAACTAGAACATTCAGGACGAAGGAGTCAAGGCCAATTGCGTTTGTTTGACCGTCATTTGAAACCAAGCACGGCTCTCGGGTGGAATGAAGAGTTTCGGACGTACAATGGAAGCTTTAGAGTGTTCAATCTTACTTGTGCATCCCGTCGGTACAAGTGGATCATGGAAAACAAAAACTCCTCGCTGGTTCCGCTTTTGTCAACTATGTAGAAGTAAGTTTCTCTCGGAAAACTTATCAGTTGTTCAAGTTGATGATGGGAATCAAGCTCCATCACGTGCGTACATGATATTACTGAGATTTACGGACAACTTTTGTATTGACGCTGAATTCTACGCGCGACTTCTAACTAGTGGGTACTTCCATTTCCTACGCCATAGATTATATAGAATCTCGAGGAGCCTCAGAAACGGCTAGCCAATCAAGGTTGTATGCAATTGATATCAAGAGTTCCATCGACCAGGGAGTCTCTTATTAACGGAAAGATATCTTCACCAGTTGTCTAATCCAAAGAGGAAGGCCATAACGAGAACGGAATCTGATTGGTGATTGTTCCCATTTATGTCCCCACTTCCCCGGACAACCCTTTGCGGGATCTAGGGCGGAAGAAATGATGGATGTTGTCCGCGATGGACCCAATTCTCCGCAAGCAAGAAGCTATCGTGTTGCCCTTATTCCGAATTCGTGGAGTTGCTGAATCCCCTCGCCTCTCAGTTGAGTATCCAGCAAAGAAGTTGCTGCGTAAGTCTTCAAAGATAGCCTTCGACTGCCCAGTCAGTGCCCATATAAGTTCGCCAAGGCTCGGACTTACACACTCCGATACCGGCGCACTTGCGAGAAGGGATTTTCACTTGACTCCATTGAAATTTAATAAAGGAATGTGTCAATCGAAAGAAGCGACCCCGCGAGGTGGGGAGAATTTTCATCTCTCCGGAAAAATGCTCGGCAACTTGCAGGACGATCTGGGGAATTTTCAACAAGTATAATAATATGCTCATTCTACCGTTGCCTTGCTAGTCTTGTCCACTTGTTGACCGCGTTCCCGCCGATTCGACCCATCTTTGAGATTGAGTGCTTGCTTTCAGGCACCGTCATGTCGGACACGAGAGAGATCAAGGACAGCTCACTGGGTGAGGCGCCGTCAAACACGGGCAAGGTTGTTGCCGCAGACAACGCGATTGCCCACGATGCCGTCTTTGGTGAGATTACGGAAGATGGCCCCAACTACCGCAGTGTTTGTAACTCCTTTCCGGTGGTTCCAGAGTTGTAGAAACTGACTAGCATTAGGTCGGGTGGCTGGGTACTTCCGTCTTAATGATGAAAACTCAGATGGGTCTCGGCGTTCTATCCATCCCTTCCATCCTCGACACTATGGGGATCATTCCCGGAGTCATCCTCATTTGCGTAATCAGCGGCATCACTACCTGGTCCGACTTCATTGTCGGTACTTTTAAGCTCCGCCATCCCGAAGTCTACGGTGTTGATGATGCGGGAGAGTTGATGTTTGGCTGGATTGGCCGTGAATTATTCGGTGCCGGCTTTTGTCTCTGTGAGTGCTCTGTAACAGCGGAACGGCATTGACATGCAGTCACTAATATTTGCCCCCCAGTCTTCACGTTCACCTCAGGTTCCGCTATGCTGAGTATCTCCATCGCCTTGAATGCTCTTTCCATGCACGCAACATGTACCGCTGTATTTGTGGCAGTTGCAGCCATCATCGGCTTCGGCTTTTCTAGTATAAGAACGCTGGGACGAATCAGTTGGCTGGCATGGATTGGTGTTACAAGTATTATTGTCGCCGGTAAGTCTAGACTTTTATTCCTTAAAAGCCTGCGGTATCTAATAGCTTCTCTAGTGCTCACCGTGACCATTGCTGTTGGCCTGCAAGATAGGCCTGCGGCAGCACCGAAGAATCTTCCTTGGAAGTCGGATTTCAAGCTCGTAGGCTCGCCCACTTTCACAGAAGCCATCGCCGCCATCTCTGCACTCGTTTTCTCATATGCAGGCACGCCAGCATTCTTCTCCATCGTGGCAGAGATGCGCGAGCCTAAGCATTATACCCGGGCTCTCATTCTCTGCCAGTCTGTTGTCACTCTCGTCTACGTGGCTGTAGGTGCTGTTGTCTATTACTACTGTGGATCATACGTGTCTTCGCCCGCCCTCGGGTCTGCTGGGCCAAGTGTCAAGAAGGTTGCTTATGGACTCGGTCTTCCCGGTCTTATCGTCTCGGCTGCTGTACTGCTTCATGTGAGTGTCTTGATTACACAGAAGGCTGTATGTGTGCTGATCAAGTCGTAGTTACCGAGCAAGCACGTGTTCGTTCGAATTCTGAGAGGCTCAAGGCACCTGACAGCTAACACCTTTACCCATTGGGCAACATGGATTGGCTGTACCTTCACTGTCGCACTGGTGGCCTATCTGGTTGCTAGCGGCATTCCCGTATTCAACAGTCTCATTTCTCTCATCGGTGCGCTCCTTGGCACACTGATCTGTTTCCAGCCAATGGGGTGCATGTGGTTTTACGACAACTGGACGAAGGGGAAACAGAACCCTACCTTGAGATGGTACGCTATGTGTGTTTGGGCTGCTTTTGTTGTGGTTTCGGGAACGTTTTTGATGGTTGCAGGAACCTATAGTTCCATCGTGGGAATCATCGATGATTACAATGGCCCAAACCGCTCCTCTGCCTGGGCATGCGCAGACAACTCGAACTCTATATAATGTTGCGGGCAAGGTATCAGAGAAACAATTGAAACCCTGCCTTCAGCGGCGTACTAGACCACCAGAAGAAATAGGTGGCATCTAATTCTACACATATGCACTGTTAGTGAATCTGTTTCGCGGCTTTGAAAGTGAGCTATGTATTCTGTATAATCTCTTTATCTCGACTTTGGAAGTTGTTCGAAGAGAGATAGAGCCCCCGAGACCCACCGTCTAGTTTGGACTACCCTGGCCACATGATGGAGCCTCCCGATCTCCGATCTTCATTGCCATCTATTGCTCCACTGGTCGGGAAGACTTTCTAATTTAGGTTTCAAGTTGGAGCAAGAGTTACAGGCACCAGCGTGCCCGATGATTCAAAGTAGCCTTTGCCCTTCGGGGCTCAAGCTGGATAAATCACAGGGAAGACCAACAATCTATCGACTGAAAAATAGACAACGTAGAGTGCATGCAAGGTAAAGTATGAAGTCAATTTCAGATCACTGGGGATACGAGATAACTGAGGAAACAATCATGCGCCCACTTGCAACCGCCTGGCAGCCGTGCCAATCGAAGATGCGCTCAGGACCATGCACTCGCTGTTGTTTGGTGGCCTAAGGCGAAAGAAAGCACCGGGCTTGCTTCGTACTTAAAGTACTAGAGCACCGGTACTGCAGGGCGGGAGAGATTCCGAAACTGTGGCATCTGATTCTGTCGATGTTGATATCTGGCATAGATAACGTCGTTGCATCGCGGAAAGCGGGAACTGTCGGGCCCCGAGGAGTGAGTGCGTATGCAACACAGTTCGTGCGAGAATAGAATCAGTCCCGCCCTGAAATTGGGTAAGCATACCACCGGCTTGTCAGTTTACTGAGATTGACAAGGAGTTCAAACTACCTCGAAATGAAGCTTTCCATCTCAGCTTTAGAGGTGAAAGTGTATGAGAACTCATGGTGCTTAGTAAGTCCAGAGGCATGGGAAACCAGGAACATTGGAATTTGAATATCATTCACTCACACATCAGACATAGAAACAGAATGACATGTCGCCCACAGGGAAAGTGGGATGCCGAAGTGTCTCGGAAATGACACACACAGTCAGCTACCAGGACACGAGATCGTGCTGGTTTGCAGGGTTAGAATCCTGTACACTTACTACATGTACTAGGTAGCTTTGAAGGGCCTCGAGCTCTCTATGAAGTCGCAAATTGGCCAATGACCGCCAACTCAGCCGACCGCCAAGATAAAGAAGCGAGCACAGCGGCAATCATTATCTACTGACATACATTTCTAGTCACATACCCTACTTATACGCTCTTGAATAGGAGTTCTCACGAATCTATTAAGTGGACATGAGATCTCCAATTCTTTATATATATATATATATTTTGGAAATGTAGCCTTTATGACTTCGTTGAACTTCGTTTTGAAGTGGCAAGATTTGAAGTCCTTAATGACCAATGAAGAGGAAGACCGACGTTGATGATTTGGTTGAGACTACGGCGTACGCCCTCTCACCTCTATCAAACACGTGTGTCCAAGAGCCTAATATATGCTAAGTGAGTCTTCGGAAGCTTAGCTGCAACCCATGTGCGCAGCAACCATCAGTAACTCCATTAATCCATCGAGTATCTATGCTGGCTGAAAGAGAGGCCAGGAATAAGACACTATCGCCTTGAAATGTCTTATCTCCTCTCTGCCCGACACATATTTCGCTTACTGAGAGACTCTCGGCACACCACTCGGATTGTGGGGTCAACAAAGCGTCTTGCGCCGCGCCGCACAGGGGTGGGATGCCGTGACGGGACTGGGCGCCCCGAGACGCGAAGCGCTACTGAGCGTTATCGTGGTGGGTTTGCCCTGCCCGCACGGGGGCCTCGGGGGCCGGGATGATGCCGATCGCCCGTATAACATTCGCTCCAGGGACGGTCTCGAAGCCATCAGTTTCCGAGCCTAGCCCATCTGCGAGAGTTCTGTCAAACGAATGGTCTCTGCTTCCTCTGTCAGAACATGTCTTCATTCAGTTAGGTTACCAGCACCAAACCCTGGCTCATCCCAGCCCTCAGGACCCTCAACTCAGTCAACCACCCCTTATTCCCGCCCTCTGCCCAACAGTTACCGACCGACTTCAAAACACTCCCTTTTCACCCGTTGTACGACCTCTGTGACGTGCACGGGCCACAATCTGACCACCTTTGGAACGTCTTTGTGTGGACAAGTCAGACTGGGGGCAACCTGGTGATCCCCGAAACTTACAATCAAATTCGGGCTGGTTTGAACCAGTCAGAGCAAATCGCAAAGTTCATCTGACAAACATACAACCATTCCAAGCCGGTACGAACACGGCAAAAGTCGATGAACGCTCTCCAGATTTCCTCCGTGTCATGACGACAATGGACCAAGATCCCGACCACGAGCCGGCGATCCGGAGTCTCGGCGGCCTGGAGGTCATCGACTCGAATGGGGATCTCTATCTCTTTGTAGGAGAAGACGTTGAAGAAAAGCCCAAAAATTACTTTGTATGTTCCAAAGCGCTCGCGAGAGCCTCGACAGTCTTTCGAAAGATGCTCTATGGCGGCTTCGCTGAGTCGCGACCACATCATATGGATGGCGCCCCGCGAGATTGGACTGTGGAACTCCCCGATGACCGGCAAGAGGCTTTGGAAATGCTACTGAACATTTCGCACGGGCGCTTTGAAAAGGTTCCCGAACAACTGGAACTCACGAGTCTCTACCAGTTCCTTGTGGTCACTGAGAAATATGACGCGACTAGTATCACGCGGCCATGGGCCCGCGGGTGGATGGAAGCAGTCAAGACGAGCATGCAGAACCCGCTGCTTCTTGGCGTTGCTTATGAACTTGGGGACGCCCAAATGTTCAATAACATGGCGATGAAGATTGCCACTGAGTGCTTAGTTGACGACGATGGAGATTTGGTGTTTGGTTATAGCGGAGCGAACCGTGAAACTTACTCATACAAGCTTTGCCACATAGAATATCTGTTCCCATTTGGCTTCGTCGGTACGTATTTCGATGAGTTTCTGACTTGTAGAGACTCCGCAATGAAAGGAACTAACTCGAGGTCTAGATGATGCCACAACAATACGCAAGACTCTCCTTACCACTATGCTAGAACCCTACGCCAGCCTCTACATGACGCTCAAACACGGAGATCGATGCATGTCATCGCCGCAAGACCCCACGGGCGGCAAACGGTGCGATAGCATCCTACTAGGCTCCCTCATTCGATCCTTCGCGGCGCAGACAATCGATCTCACGGCCCCGGATCCCGTCGCAGCGTACCGCGGGAGCGCCTCGGCGCTTCAGTCAGTTCTGCTCAAGCTCGAGCTGTTCACGGTCCATTCGGGCTTCTCGCATCCGTCGTCCACATCATTCAGCTTCGGGCAGACGACACATCCGCGGTTCGGCTTCACTTTGAGCGCTTGCGAGCATGTGCTGCAGTCAGGGCTGCGGGAGGGTGTGGAGAGGTCGCTTATGCTAAGGGGGGATATGAGCTTTGTGCAGCCAAAGCACAAGGAATATTTGCAAAAGCAGGCGCAAAAGACGGGTCTTTCTAAGTAGCACTAATACTATCTGTGATTAAACCACCTTTCAGCACGAGACGGTTTTGGGAGTCTTGTGGCCGCCGCCAAGACCGCCTCTTTCCTGTCTAGCAAACCAAAGTGTCTTCGGCATGCGTGATGATCTTTATCGCTTTCTCGAATCACCAACTCACGCTCCAGGCGCATGTGTCTTTCCTCCTGACATATTTCGCGGGCTCGAGTTTTCGTTCTCCTGGCTCCTGCCCATATCACACATCCGTTTCACCGATGAATCGGAATGTAAGGCCTCTGACCTCTTCCTCTCTCTCCCCTCCCAGTTCAATCACGCAACGGACCACCTCGTAGTTGTCAGTCTCGTATAATTGTAGTGAATCCTCCTGATCTTTGTTCTTAACAAGGAAAGCGTGTCCATATACGCAGTCCTTATTGTAGGCTGGCGCATCCACCAAGGCTTTGTACTTTCCACCCCAGGTAACAAGACGGCCACCGCGAACCTTTGCAGCTCGATAAACTGTCTCAATGCCGAGAAGATTGTTTAGGACGTTAGGATCCGCAAGGGTGCCATAGAAGAAGTACCAGACTGGGTACTGGTCCTGAGCCGGGAGCAGTCGTTGGTCGAACTTAATGTCGGACTCGGTACTTGGGCGTTAATGAGGTAAGGTGGCCTCAGATCCAAGAGTAGGATGAATTGAGTTCGCGGAAAGGTTCTTCTCCGCCTTTGCGTAGCGGATGAATGTGGGTTGAAAGGTTGACCCGATGGCGGAAAGGTGATTGAGGAGAATCTTCATGATTGCTTCGTCAACCTTGCAGAAAGAGGCAGCAGCGCCGTCGTCGTCTGTGCCGCTAAATCTCAAGGGCAGCATGGAAGAAGCACCGCAGACCATTTGAACATCCCCGGGGCTGGAGAAAGGTCTCTCTAGCCTGAGGAGGTAGGTATCGGACTTCTTCTTCTTCTTTTTGGTCTGAGTACTTTGCTCGACGTGCGATGTCTGGGTTCGCGGGAGGTTACAAGAATACTCGTAAGACTCCTTGTCGTAGCCCTGTGATTCTTTCTCTTCGCGAACCATGTCCCAGTGGAGTTCAGAGACTTGAACTCGTGCAAAGTTGGATCGATGATCCTGGATCTTCTGTGCAGCATCGGAGTATGTGTAGCCGAAAAGGGACTCCCACCTCTTGATCTTGTCGTACTCCGGTTCAATTTTGTCCTGTTGGATCACAGCCATGGACTCAAGCTCGTGAAGAAGATCCATATTGTATGCTCGAGTAGTGCCGTTTCTCAAGGCGAGATGACTTTGTTGATCAAAGAGTGTTGTGAGATCTCAGATCAGCGGGATTGTTAGATAGTTAGTGAATATTTGCGGCTCCGCGTGGGTGACAATGGAGGAGTATGGCTACATTATATATGGGGAATGTTTTCGAGGGCTTCGGAGATACCTCTGTCATGTGAGTAGACAAAAAGGTTGACAAGGGCTGCAGACTAACACGGCTCACACCAACACTTTGATACAACATGTACCATGATGGGCAAACCAACACTAGTAGACCCAGTGCCCTTCGCAGCTTTCACCTCTGTTAAGTTTTCCCATGCCACTACTAGCTTTCTTCTTGAAGATAAATACGAAACTCGGTTCGGATATCGTACTCGGATATCGTACTTGGATATCGTAACTATTAGGACACCGCTAATGTCGACGTTTCTAATCAGATTGTTCTCTTCTAGCATGGCGTCTGACTGCTATTTGACGATTGTGTTGATATATTCGGCGGCATGATTGCATAAAGGATGACATTAAAGGATCCTCCATCAATGACATCGGTGGTCTTCCTGTCAGACAAGCTCATCACTACCATGATAGTTTCCAGCAATGGGTCAAGCGCAGAATTGCTTTGCCGGCTACTATTTCCTATCTTGAAGTTCAAAACTCCACCCCCTCTTATTACTTAGTCTACTCTGCCTGCGAAATGGAATAAGCGCATCGGCATGGAGCTCATTGAGGTTGACACACAGTGTTATGTGCTTCAACATAAAATCGGTGCCACGCTCAGTACTCCGGAGGTATCGAACATTGTTGATCGCTTCACAAGATTAAGATAGAAGATGCAGGACATTGAGATAATCGCGTGCTTATTTCGCTTTCTTCGAGGTAAATCAGAGGCAGATTGTGACGATTTGAAATTGATCCGGCACCCTTTTCTCGTGAATCAGCCAGCAGAGCAGCCAAGCCCCCGATTTTCTTTCAATGAGACTGGAGCCTCCAGTAATAACAGGATTAGGAAAGAAGAAGTAATAGAAGGATCATCAGTGGGAGCTGGAAATAAACCCTACTAGGTTCCCTCGTTCTGATTGACGTTAAATGCCTCTCATTACAAGCCCGTAGGTAATGCGCTATCGCTCTAATTGTTAAAAGTTGGTTTGAAATAAGCAAATACCAGTTAGAACGGTAACTTACTACCTCGTAACTCCAATTTCCTCTGGCGGCTGGCCTCCCGAGGCTCACTTACACGAGGCCCGATCCGGCTGGAGAGGCAAGGAGGTCTGAGTGCCAAGAGAAAATCGCTCATAGACAAAAGGCCAACACAGGCACGGTCGGATTCGGTGGTGATGGACAACCATTACGTTAAAATTACCTACAAGCTACTGCTTCCCCATGGGAAGCGGGCGCAAAAAGACCCAAATAATCTCAACGTTGTTCCAATCGGCCGCCAAGCCTACGGATTGCACTCGCATCCGAAGGTCCTGATCTGGCAACCCGGATATGAATGCACGCAGCAACAGGAAGTTCTTAATCCCTCAACCGAGACATCACATGGCTTTCGAGTCGGTGAGATTGCACTTCAGCAATGCTGACATGAAACACGGCGCAATCAATAATTTGCATGGGCTATTTGTAGGATTTAAAAACTGCTTGACAGCAGGACTCTGGTTTCTATGCGCTTGGGTTCTTTTCATCTTGACATCCTTCCGCCATTCAACCTCCTTGTCGATACATTCCTCATGACATCATCCGTATGAGCCCGACGAGCATTCCAGATGCCGCTGTCACAGATGCCTCAACCACCTGGGTGCCCGAGAAGCAGCCAGGTGCCGTCGCAGCAGCACTCTGTGTCGCATTCGCACTCCTAGTCGGCCTCGGACTCTACCTCTTCGGATGGAAGAAGATCAGGAAGTTGAGACATCCTCCGCCGCCTTCCCCACCTCATTCTCTGAGTCTTACAACAACGGGAAATCACGGCAGTCGACATAATTCTCCTGACGCATCGACTTTGAGCCCCTATAGCTTGCCCCGGCTCCCGAGAAAAGCCCGCATGCCAAAGCTGATCCGGGGAAAGCTCGAGTCGTTGGCAAAAGTCGCCGAGACCAAGACGTGTCCGGTTTGCTTGGATGACTTTGTCGCTGGAAGTGTTGTCGGGCAGTTGCCATGCGGTCATGTCTTCTGCTCGGCTTGCATCGAGCTTTGGCTCCTGAAGCACTCTTACACATGTCCTTTGTGGTACGTCTTCCGACTTGATACAATACAGCAATGCTCGACTACTGACCTATTCTGCTTGACTCTGGTATAGCCGCTTTAATCTTGAAGCAGGCGAAGTGCACACCAAAACATGATATAAGGGGCGTGAAGTGGTGGATGAAGAGACACCATTCAAGGGATGTCGCTTCAAGCAAGCATGCGACATGTGCTGTTGAAATGCCAACCTACTTTACAGGGAGCCTTGCAGTTGCCGTTGCTTTAACTCACACTGTCGGCCTTTGTATCTCATATTTCCTATGCCGCGAGGAGTGCCCACTGCCAGGGATCAATAGCAACTGCGTGAGGATGCTTCCCGCGACAGTTCTGGGGGCTTATTGTTAGTGGGAATCGTTAGTGCTTGCCTCTTTACGCCAGCGGACGATACAGCTATAACAGTCCACGTAACTGTAGTCTCTGAAGCTTTCAATCCAAACATGGCAGCCTGACTCATTATTCCTCCCGACACGGTGAACATGGACCAAAGTGTCAAATATGGGTTTGGCAAATCTAAAGTAACAAAAGCATGCTCCAGAAATATGTGACCTTGAGCCACATGCTGACGCACCCCAAATGGCCAGCAATGAGACCTTGTGTCTTGTGTGGCGCAGCCCTCCGAGAATCCTAAAAACGCCCCACGACCACCTCTCTCCCCTTGTCAACAAGTTGAAGCCCTCAAGAAGTGTCAATTATTCGCAATACGGAGCACCAGTGTTTCTTGGAGTATTGGAATATAGTTGGTCACAGTGTTATGAACCAACAATTGTGAGGCCTCTCCCATAATGATATGTAGGCTCGAGAGTGTCTTGGTCCATCATCGGCTGATTACCAAATGACCCTCGTGACCAAACTTGTCCATGTGATGATAATCGACCCAGCTGCTTTACGTTGTGCTACATTCGGCCAAACGTGATCGGTTTGTCACACGTGAAGCCCCCGAAGAAGGACTTATTTTGATCGACCTGCGCAATCCATGTCATATATGAGACTCTTTTCCGGCACTGTGCCACTCTCGACGAGCTGCATCGACGGTGGCGCGTCACCCGCTGCTCATTATCCCTGGCACGTTCAACGTCCCGAAAACTGATACCCAGGGGTATCGCGTGATTGGCTCGTCGGGCGACTCGTGCTGAGGATTTGAGGATAAATTATTACCTTCTTGCCTCTCGACCCGGTCTGGAGGAAATGACGAAAACGGCCATCAAACGTAGGAGACGACCTGAATAAACATCACGGCCGGTTCGAAGCTCAAATACCCACCTCCTTTCCAGCTAGATCCTCTTTCAAGTGCTGCTCGGCCTAGCCTCTCAACTATTTGTCGTCGACTTGAACGCCTCACCAACTGACAGTTGAAGGAGCCGTATGTACCCTTAGACTCATCCCGATGTTGCCATCGTACTTACTCTGACGATTTGGAAGTCAAGTCTTGAGGCTGATATCGCCAGCCCCCTCTTTCACACAATGAGTGACGAGAGCATGTCTGCAATCGTACCATCACTAGATTCCAGGGAAACAATGGAGAGCGAGGCCACACTGGTTGCCGTTTCTGAGACAATACAGCCAGCCCCGAGGAATGAGCAATATCATCATCATTCTAATTCCAACAGACACACTCTGAGGCTGTTTGATTTCATGAGCATAATGCTCAGGTTGACACTGCTCTGGATGAATCTACTGCTCCTGCCCTTTTGCGGCTGGAACGCCGCAAGCTCTACACTCTTCCTTGTTATGCGAGGAGTCCCACTGGGTCGACAAGTGGGGGTATTTCTTCGTTTATCTTATAATATAGCTAAGATGGAAGTCAGTCCCGCGGGACCATACAGATGATAAAGTATGCTGTTAGGTGACAATTTTTGTGCAAGTCCGGTGGCGAAATTCTGGCAATCAGTCACAACGGTGGAGGCATTCACATATAAGCGACACACCTGTCACTAGGCAGCACGCGGATCCCTAATTATATGCAATGTCTTGAGATGAAGTTTCTGAGAAAAAAAGAGCATATATACATGAAAAGTTACGAATAAGTAGACGTAGTTGGTTGCTTGTAATTACAGTGTTGGGCAACGTCAGAGTACCCGAAGAATTATGCTAAGAAAATGCCCCGAGCGACAAGGTCGAACGCTTCAAATACTTCATTGAAGGTATTCACCGACAAGAGCCAAGTCGATAATGGCCGCCAGTCCATATAAAGCAGCGTCATTCGTAGAAATCCACGACGCCTCATCAATAGGGGCCAACACATCGCTGCCGTTGAAATGCACAGTGCTCCAGGGAGCAGACTGCTTCAACCCATCGGTGTTGAAGAACTCATTCCAAGCACGAGCCGCGAGAGTCGCGTTGTTCGTGCGATGAGCAGCGTACGCAGTGAGACGAGAGTGTCCCTGCTTGAGACTCGTATTACCGAATCCCTTGCCGTAACGCGCCGTCTGCTCGGCGGCGCTGGCGCTGTAGTAGTAGCTGTAGTCGTACCACGCTTGTTCGAAGCCCTCGGGGACGTCGTCGCCAGCATGCTCAATGAACTCGGCAACGACCTCCATGAGGCCGAAGACAGCAGACAGGTGGGACACGGCGACGGTGCCGTTGTTGTTAGGATCCGCAGGCGGGGGGCCCAGGGTGCCGTCGGCGAGGTTGTACAGGCCAGAGCCCGTGACGAAGCCGTTCTTGAGCTTGGCGATGCTGGCGGCGGTGTTGGTGAGCTTCGTGCGAGCCTCTTCCCAGCGAGAGCCACGGCGCTCCCACTCGAG